CGCACACCCCAAAGATACACTCAGACAGACCGCACACCCCAAAGATACACTCAGACAGACCGCACACCCCAAAGATACACTCAGAAAGACCGCACAGCCCAAAGATATACTCAGACAGATCGCACACCCCAAAGATACACTCAGACAGACCACAAACCCCAAAGATACACTCAGACAGACCGCACACCCCAAAGATACACTCAGACAGACCACAAACCCCAAAGATACACTCAGACAGACCGCACACCCCAAAGATACACTCAGACAGACCGCACAGCCCAAAGATACTGTACACTCAGACAGACCGCACACCCCAAAGATACACTCAGACAGACCGCACAGCCCAAAGATACACTCAAACAGACCGCACACCCCAAAGATACACTCAGACAGACCGCACACCCTAAAGATACACTCAGACAGATGGAAATGCTCGCTCTAATTTACAGATAGAGAACACACAACACCACACAAACAGACACATACACACACACACGTTCTCTCTTGCCTGACTGTGGTTCAGTTTGCTGGTTTTCTTCTTTTTAGGTGCCATTTGTCTCAAGTATCCACAAACTGTAAAAGCTGTATGAATGTTTGTACAGTTGCCAACACAATCACAGTTATCCAATGGACAGAATTTTTAATAAAGATGTTCAGTTTGATTTCAAATCCAAAATGGCTGCTGTCGGTTTCTTGAATCTGTCATTTTCTTTCTCTCTTCTCCCAGAGTGGCTTCTGGTTTCAATCAACAGTCAGTCACACCATCTTTTCCTGAACAATGAAGCGTATTCGTGTCTAAGCTGTTAGTCATGCCCATGGATTTTGGGGAGATATTTAGAGCACCCTGGAACTTCCAAATGTCTGGACTGTGCTGCACACTATTGTCCCTCCAGCATTTTAATTAAAGTCTTTGTCACTTAATGGCAGAAGTGGAAAGTTCAGGGCCATAAAGTACAAATCCAGACCAAGATTTTGTTTCAACCAATCTGATGAGTGCTCTGTGACTGTTACTCATTATGCTCATCTGGATGGTTGAAACAAAATCTTGGTCTGGATTTTACTTTCTGGACCTGAACTTTCCACCTCTGGTTAATGGTTATAGATAATATATGGAAAATTGGGTGCAAAAAAAGAAATGGAAAAGCAGACATGTGACGTTGTCATGAGTCACACAAAACCCACCAGTCTTATCATTCAGAATGCCTCACAGGAATAAAGGACCTGCAACCATCGCAGTCTTCTCCAGTTCTTCTAAAGCCTCAATACCATCATATCATATGTTACTTCTAATCGATTGACATATATGGCCATCTGTGAGAGATGAAGAGAAGAGAAGGAGAGAGAACTAGCGCTCAACAAACAGTAATAAAGACAGATAACCCTGAAGATCCGGGGATGTACATCAAAAGAGGGCAGCTCAGTCTCCCGTATCATCTGACACCCTCAGCCTCACCTTCTACACTTCTCATCACTTGCTTTCCTGTCCCCAACCCCTCCCCCACCACCACCTTTGGTGCAGAGATGGGCACTACAGCAACATGGGCTCTGCAGAGTGTTGACCAGTATATTTGATATGAAGAATAATGATAATTCAGCAGCCAGAAAAAACCAATTGACAGGTGGGTTCACTTGGATCTTTCACTAGTGGCTAATATATTTATGCCTTATGAGATAAGGGTCAGGGTTAGGGTTAGGGTTAGGGTTAGGTCCTGTGAGGTAAGGGAAATTATAAAAAATATAATAAATTGCCTCTGCAAGAAAAATAATAACTAGAATGCACCTGCTTAAGCAACCAGCCCTCTATGTCATTGTCATTTGTTAATTATGTCCTTTTCCTTTCTGACTATCTAATGTCAAAATCCCTCAGATACCTTCAACACTTCACTTATCTCTCTCTCCATCTATCCATCCATATTCCATACTTGCAGAGGTTCAGGGTGATCAAGCAGAAACAAAACAGCGACTACTTTGGACAGGATGCCAGACCATTAATTCAGAAATTTCTCATGTTTTTAATGTTTGCACATGTGTTGAAACTTGTTAAGAGACACTCACTGGCAGTGAGTCAGACGAGGGTTGTCTTTGTGCTGTTATGTTACACTTGCTAATTGGTTGTTCTCTTTTGTGATCAGAAATGATGGACCACTAGCTGGGAGATCCTGGAGATCCTCGTTCTCTGCTCAGCAGTGGGGCGACACTGGGGTGGGGGAGGGCTGGATCACTGGGATATACTTCATATGAGGCGATGCTTTATGCAACGCGACATGAACGCAACACAGGCAGTGTATTAACTGTAGTGTACTAACTGTAGTGTACTACCTGTACTTGCAGGTAAGGTTTACTTATATCTGGAGGAATAAAGGTCATGTTTACCGGGTGCAGTGCGCAAAAACCATTTTGGTCAGCTCCTTCGTTTCTGGTCTCACTTGTTTTGTATGTGGTTGTGACATAAGATGATGTACACTCGCTGCCTCCACAGCGATCGAGTCGCTAATATTTTAATACTGCTGCACTATTCTCTGTATTCTAACCACTGCTCCACATCGTACTTCACTCTGCCACATGTCACTTTACCACGCCATGCTGAATGTAGCATTGTATGTTGTTAGATATCTCGTAATAGTTAGCATTTTGTGATTAGGCTGTACTACAATGGAAAAAATCAATTTCTGCAATAGGTACTGCAAAATTTATGAAGAAAAAAATGTTTTAAACATGTGCGTACTTTAAACAGCAAGGATGAAAAAGATTAGGAGTGCCTTGAAGAGCGCATGCAGAGCTAAGTAGCGGAGGTAAACTTTAAACTAATGTTAAACACATACTAAATAATCCTGAGAAGGAGCGCTCATTAAAACTGCACAGCCTGCTAAGTTTTGGATCCTACAACAATATAGATGTTCTACCGAAACGTAAACCGCACGTTCTCGACGAATTCGATAACTAAGATTTATAAATACCGGAACTGTACAGAAAAATAACGTTGCTTATGAAAGTAGGCAAGTCCGAATTTGGAGTTAGTTTCATTGTACTTTGTACACATAATACTAATTTCTTTAAAAATTTAAACTGCGATTACATTTCGAAGACGCTGTACACAGAGAGACACAATAGTGCTCGCAATATTTTTTTCTCTTGCCTTTGAAAATATAAAGTTCTTCCGGCCATTCATTCTTAAAAAATCAGATGTTACATTAATACTAAATACCATATATAAACACATAGTCCTATGACAAAAGGTGGCTATGCTGCCCGCCCCCCCCTGTTTTCTCATACGCATGGCGTTACCTCCTCACATAGGTGCACCAATGACGTGTGGAATGAACGTAGAAAACGCCTGGCGGCCATGATGCGTACGCGTATGCGTTGTGGGCGTCAAGAATAAATCAGCCTGATGGTGTAAATGCACAGCACACCAGAGCTGCCCATATTACACATGCACATGACCACGTCCATTACAGCTTCAAATGCAGTGTGTTGATGACACCTGGTGGCGAGAACCTGCCAACGCAGCCAACACAATTTATTCATACTGCACCTTCAGTGATACTTTAGTAGTTTCTACAAGTAGTGAATATCGAAGGCATGCATCCAAAAATGAAAGTATTAACTGGTAGGTGAATGCAACTTGTAATAAATACACCAGAGAGTTAACATTACATAACAGAGCATGGGGGGGGCTGCTTGTAACCCTAATACATATTCTGATTAACAAGGGTGTCTGAAATAAACAGTCATTTGGGATAATTACGATATGTGGAACTGAAACTGCTATGCTGAAATAGCCTGAAGCAGTTACATTAAGGCAACTTACAAAGAGGTGAAATTACTTTAGCAAGTATGCCATTCTACTGATTTCCACCAGTTCTTTCACTGAGCAGTACAAGCATT